CACGTTCCCGTACCCTCCCACAGCTCCTGGGTTCCATGTTCCCTCCCCCCGCTTCCCCTACCCGTCCCCCTACGCTAACTCCCCCTATACTCAAGGCTACTCCCAGAATGCCGTGCTGGAGCGCATCAAGCAGACCAGTATGGGCATGGGCTTTGGGGGATTTTAAGGTGCAAGGATAGTAACAATAGAAGTACTCTGGTGTAGTGTACTAGCCGTGTAAAGGAAATAGGTCTCACTGTTTCCCATGCTCACTGTATTGTCTCAGTGTCAGTTCCTTGTTTTAGCTTTTTTATATATTTGTTACCCTAGAGCACCTGGTAAGCTCCACTTTCATCTCCTCACTGTCAAGTGATAAAGTGAAGGAGGTTGTGGTACTTGAAAGACTTATTGTATGTAAACTGTTCTCTGTGTGTGGAGAAGGGAGTGTTTGCTAAATATGACAGGGTAATAATAATTGCTAAGCATTGTGATGCACTACAGCAGCACTCCTCCCCTCAGTGAACAGTGTCGACTGTTGCATCACCATTCCTGCGTTGTGCACCAATAATGGCCAGTGATCTCATGAGCCGTGTAACAGGCCGACTGACCCAGCCGCTTTGGGGCAGTTATCATCATAACTAACAAACGCTAGGTACCACCTGCTTGGATGGTCCCAACCACCTGCCAGGAAACGGTAGTCCCACTGCACTAGTAAATCAGGGGACAAAAATAAAATAAAGTCCTTTGTAACAGTGAACCTGGGGACAAAGTCCTCCACAACAGTGAATTGGGACTAAAAAGTCCTGTTAAAAGTGAACTAAAAACTGGAAGGTCCTGCCAGAAGTGAACTGAGCTTACCCCACGTGTAATATCTTGACAAACTTATGTCCCAGACAGAAACTTGTGATGTGGAGATGTGTGTGTGTGGAAGTGAAAGAGGAATTACATTTGGTTTCCATGAGATTCAGAAAAAAATAATAGGTTTTGGCACCCAGTCCAGGAGGCTTGTGAAGAAGTTTATGTGTGAGACAGTTCCTTCCAACAGATAATGTAAAGTAGCATTAAGAAGCCAGACCCTTTTGTATGGAGAGCACAATACTCTTTTGGTGCAATATAGTCATCAATCACTCATGCGCACAGTGTTGACAGATGTTTTTGAGGATATTAACACACTTGTTTATATCTACCACCCATATTTGCAGTTTAATGATTTGTAGTGACAACCTCCCACCTTAAAACAAAATTATCACAGACTATCTAATACAGTTTGTGAAGCCATGAATTTTCTCAAGGGTACTTTCTACTTCACAGTAAGCTCATGTTAAGAATCTCATTATACTAGTTTCAGTGACCTCTGATTGCTCAGATATACTATTTGACTGTGTTGAATTACTTTGATATTGACAAATAATGTGTAACATTGTAAAGGCCATGGCTTTGCATCTGGCGTCTGTATCCAATTATTGATTGATACGTAACTCTTGTATCCAACTGTTTGAAACCTGGTGTCTGCCCACAAGCAGTAGACAGTCAGGGTTGTGGTGCCCAGCTGTGTTCCAAGCATCATATAGCAGTAGAAATTGGTTATGACCCTTGATAATAAGGTGAACTTCATTCATCCAGTGACAAATGATTTGCTGTGGACAAATGTAAAACTTGATTTCCACAATGCTCGTAAATTTTTATGAAGAGTACATATTACCCATTTAAAAAAGACAAAAAACAAAAAGTCAAATGTCTATTGGGAAAATTAAACGAGAACTATTGTAACCAAGTTTTGCTATTTGATGAAGGTATATGTCAGCACAGTCTCAAAGCTGAGTAGATGTAGGTAGTGTGTCAGGAAGGGAGGATATTGGTAGGCCATCACTTGCAGACTATGATTTTTAAAACCGTTTCAAGCCAGAGTTATGAAGCAAAGCAATCACTCATCACTGTGGTAGTCTTTTTTGTGATATATTAGCGAGTCCAGTCTAGTTCAAAAGTGTCAGTGTTTCTCATCACTCGAATAGTTTGCAGGATTTCAATCCGGATATAACAATACAGTTAGAGCTTAATAAATCACCAGTCCATTTGATTTCTTTTTTTGTTTTGTTTTTGTTTTTGATACAATAATAGTTTCAGCAGGGATGTGGATGGTTGTACTGTGAGCATATTATAGAAAGGGTGGGTTAATGTGAATAATTAATGTTATTTTGGGGTGGGTTGTTGTGGGTCATTTTTGGGTGGAATGGTTGTAATAAATGTTGGTTGTATGTATGGTCTTTGTTATCTACAAGAGTATATATTGTTAGATGTTTCATTGGTTACATAAACTAACCAGTTTGTAAGTCTGTACTGTAATTTTTTTAGGGAAAGCCAGACTATTGTATACATAATGTAATGTATAGATTTATTTATTATTTTTTCCATTTTTAGAGTTAACTTCAGTGAACAAAGGAATATTCGTCATACAAATACTTTTACAATAGAGTTTTTAAAGCATTTTTTGCCATTTTCATCTGTATGTTGTTAAGAGATTGTAAATGTTTGCATCATTAAGGTTTTTTAATGTAGCAGTTTACAGACCGTGCTGACATAATTTCACAGTTTACCCAGGAGTTTACCTGTAGCTCAATACTGGAAATAAAAAAGAAGAAAAAAAGAGAGAAGAAAGCAAAAACAAAAAAGAAGAACTGGTGCAGCTCAGGCAGCTAAATAACCTTTAAATCCATTTCCTTCAGACTGCCAGCTGAACACTCCCGTAGCAGGTGCTCGAGAGGGTTCTGCCCCTTGTTAGTATTGGCTCCCTTGATTCCTACGAGTTTGCTTTATCGTTTCCATGACCCTGACAGAACATATCACACCACCTGCTTGATGGCAAACATAATAACTGTTTGTAGGAGAAATTAAAATCAAAACGATTGTAATCTATGCAAGTTATAATGTTTTGGCATAAATGTTTCGCCTCAATGAACGTGTAAAATTCAATAGCTCATCCACACTTCAGATCATAATGACCGTAAATACATTTTTCAGCTGTGGCTCCATTTTTTAAAAAAAGGAATTATCATTTCATTTTTTACAATATGTTTTATTTTTCATTTTTGTCTTTCTTTTTTTAATTAATTAACTTACTAAGCAATAAGAAGAGAGAATATGTAGTAGTGTGCATACTTTAGTGTTGACAACTCCTGTAGGTGTGGTTGGTGTGTATGGGTGGTGGCGCAAGGTGCCCGCGGAGGCCATCCCACCACCCCTTCTTAAACGATCCCTCGGCCACCAGGTACCATGTCTGCAACTTGACCACCACCACAGGTACCGCTTCTGAATGGTAGTTGTGTGCACAGGCTGCCACTGGTGCACTAGTATGACTGTGATACTCTGCGTGTTCTTTCGGGTGTGCCATGAGCATGGTGGTTGGTGTAAGGTTTGTGTCCCGGGGTACCGCGGGAAGGGTCGGGTGGGCCGCACGATCTCATTGTTAAGGTGTTGTCCCCCCCGTGGCTCCAGGCCCCTCCCCCCACCCCCTCCCAGTCTTTCCCGTGGCGCCTGTGGTGGTGGTGGTGGTGGTGAGCCAGCGTTGGTGATGACAGTGGTGGCTGTGGAGTTGCAGCATCACCACTAGCACTCATGGACAATTCACTCCCCCTCCCCCCTTCCCCTCCCCTCCTCCACTCCAGCTAGCGGTCTCACCCAACCTCTCCCAGTACCTAACGTGTCTTGTTCCAGTCTTTTTCTATATTAGAAATGTTCTTGTGTTACTATTAATGTGCATTATTTATTCTCACTTATTATTATTATTATTTTTTATTTGTTATACACTTTTAGATAGTGTAGCTATGTTTCTCACCCTCGGCTAGGGCCGGGGTGCAGCGCTGTCGCTGGTGACGTGTGTGGCACCGTATTCCATCCATGACTAGTTTACCTCACGTTCCTCTCCGTATTTATAGCTTATATTTTGAGAGCATTTTGTGTGTACATAGCTTTTCTCCATCTTCTAATGCCACTCCCTCGGAAAGAAGAGCTGAATCTCACTCTCCCCCCAAAGCCTCAAGCCCCCTCCTCTCCCCCTCCACCTCCCCTCCCCCACCCCTTCCTTGAACGGCTTCCCATGACCATAGGCTCGTGGCCGGCTTCTTCACACTCCGCTAAATAGATTTTTTTTTTCAATGTATAAAGTGACAACAGTAGGTTTAGGCTTCGACCTGGGTGGTATTCTCAGCTGTCCAGGACTTAATGAAGAGTTTTTTACCAGCCTGTGTTAGATGTCCGTGCAGTTTTCAGTTTCTGTATGATGATGAAAAAATGAGGATAGTCGCGTGTTGCTCTGAAGGTAGGCAGGTATCCATGTGGGTAGAGTACGTAAATAAGTTTTGTAATTTATACCAGATGTTTCATATATTTTTAAAATATTTATTGCCGTTACTGCACTTTTTCCGTTATGGGCACGGAAGGTCTCTCTGCTTCTCGCTGTTGAGCTTTAATGAATCCATTGTTGCAGCCTGAGAGGCGTGGGCGGGAGGCCAGCGAGGCGTCCCCCCCACGCCCGCATCCCCATGCCCATGTACAACCCACACTGTCACAAGCAGGTTGCCACATCTGTTGCCTACCTGCCTGCCAGCAGTATGGCAACCTTATGCCCTGGGATGCTATATTAAGTACTCAGTTCTTTTGGTATTGTTTTAAATACCAGGTGTGTCAATAGTGAGCATTGTTAACATGGTGGGCATGGGGGTGCAGCTGATGCGTGGCCAGCGGTGTGGGTGAGACGTGCAGGCCCACAGCGCGTGTGGCGTGGGTCACCCTCACCCCAGCAGGTCGCCTCATCCCTCACTCATCGCTCCGGGCCGGTGCCCTTCACCCCCCTGGGCAGCCATCCCCTCCACTCCCCCCCCTCTCGCAACTGATACCTGTGTTTTTATTTGAACGAGTCTGTACAGTTCTTGTGTAATGACTAGAAATATTACTGAGGATAATGAAATAATATACATGTGTTGTGATTTCTCAAACAAAATAAATAGTGTGAATTGTGTTCCTAA